CAGAGAGCAGAAGAGTCAATGTACACACTCACACGCCTGTAGGGGTCTTCTCCGAGTAGAAGAAAGATCGCGGAGTATGACGATCCTTGGTCATCTGGTGCATACTCTAGCAATACACATTCTAGGACAGAATCAAGCAAAATTATTTAAACAAGAACTGTGTCCCTTTATTTCGATGTGAATATGTTTCGAAACTATCAGTAATTCTTAAATAATAACTTACTCACTCAAGGTCGCCCAGATTAGAATTCCATTAACAATGATTATTTCCACATTTCATTTAAAAGTAGATTCACCCTATTTCGTGCAATCCTATTTAACTTATCAGAAGCAAAGTTAAAAACATATTCGCTCTAGGTAGCAAAAGGCGAATTAACGAATGATGGTTTAGTTTTGCCAAAATGATCTGAGTGGCAAAACATCATTTGTATGGGGTGCATTCATCCTATTGGCAGTTAAATTTCCCCACAATGATGATATGAGCAGTCCTTCCGTTTCCATTAAGTTCCACATAGTCTTGCTTTTACAAAAGGTATTATCATCCATGCTGAAGTAGGCTGCAGCCTCAACCTCGCTTCAACTTGTCTAATCTGCACTCCAGCGGGACTCGAACCATGACATTACACCATATAATATCGACACATTTACTGCTACGCCACGCATTGCCACAAGTGCCCTTGAGCCACAGGGCAGATGTCAATTTTAAGAAAGATCAGGCATTTTCTCATATCATTTTCTGTGATGGGATTGTCAATGAGGCAAGCTTATATTTTCTATAACAATCGGCGAAATGAATTATATTTCGTTTATAGTTGGGTTTTCAGTACTACCTCATATATGTGATCTTTAACTCTCCTTTTACTACTTACAGCCACAAGGTTTTTAACTTTATTCCCATTAGATGTAATAGGATTAAAAGGTGAATTTTCCCAATACAGTTCCGAGTTTGCATCATCTTCTCGTCTGAACCCCAAACAGGGTTTGAAGCCGGGTCATGCGAATTAAGGAGAAACTGGCTACCACTTCGTATATAAGATGAGTAACTGGGTCTTGATTAATATCTTGAGACAATATTGTTGCGAAGACTTTCATTTCATTGCATGTTACTGGGATTCATAGGTTCATCACATCACAACATGTTCATAGTTATATAGCCACTTGGTTTTTTTACGACCTTCAGGTCCATGAGACAGCCCATCTGTTTTGGGTTAAAAACGGGCTAAGCTTTCGTCTGCCATGCCGACTGGTGGGCATCGTCAGAGCTAGAATTCGTTCTTGCAAAGGCCTCAAGTTAAATCAAGACGACTATCCTGTTCTATCCGATATGCCATACAGACACATAAATAATAAAAAAAAACTTTGGACATAAATAGATGTGTAATTATTTGGTTAGTGCTCTTTTATATCAATCTGGGTACTTTTACTTGAGTTTGTGTGTGTGTGTGTATATGTGTGTGTGTGTAGAAAATACCAGTCATAACTTTAAGTAATTACAATAACGCCCAGTTTTAGAAGGCGGGTGTAAGGGATTCGTAAATTGCTTCACCGATCACTGAAGTAGGATTTTATTGCACTTTTGACTGCTGATTTGTTAGAAGAAGACCTCAGCTCATCGTACTGAGCAGTTAAAATCACATTGAGGGTGTTGCTGAGACGACGGGGCGAGGCAGAAACTGCATTCCGGCCAGCTTGAAGGGCTTTTTGGCGATGTGACATTCA